TTCCTTAGCTGATCTGCTAATACTAATATGACTTGGAGAAAGCTAATATTATTGCAAGTTCTCTAGGCACTAAGAAACGATTTCTGTTGCAAAGTGAGACTATTGCGCACGATCACATCCGACCTTCGGAGGGCATCCTCGTCCCTGCTAATGAGCATCTTGATGAACCATGTTGTATGCTTCCTTCTTAGCAATGTTCTTAGCAAAGGTGAAAAATGTAAATACATATACTCTAGGTGTGTCAAACGGGATGGTGCAAAAGAGAATTACAAAACACAGCGAGAAATAGAAACATCTAAAATTATGTTAAAGAAGGAAAACAATCCAAATATCCATAACAATGATCTAACAAACAAAGAAACAATCCCCAATAAACGTACCCTACCACTTAGGGCTAATGAGGGTCTATAGACCAATAGGGAAACTTAAACATCGCTATAACACATTCTTCACATGTTACCAGGCTAGGGCAGAAACCAGTAGGTCATTTTTTACATTGAGTTCAAATGAGAATTCTCTCAGAATCCTATTATTTAACCGTGGACAGTTCAATGTTGCTCATTACCAAAGGTTCCCTTTGTCAATAAACAGAGGAACTAAATATTATTTTGCTATTGTCGTTTTTATTACGTCAAACACGCTGTCCGAAGAGACTAGCCATGATGGCTTATTGTTTTTGGTGTATCCCCCACTGTCTCTTCTGTTTGATGATGTAGAAGTAATGAACTTTCCCAACAGATTGTTATTCATGCATACAAATACGAGTATCCTTCTCAATCAATTATTAATAAGACATCCTTCTCAATCTTAGTTCTAGCAAGTTAAGCAGATCTCCTGGCTATCATATATAAATGTAAGCCTCAAGGAAGATGGACGGTGATGGACTACGTCAATTGGATACAATTGTTAATCCCTCCCCCTATTCCATTTTATTTTCCCTTGTTTACTTATTTCGTAATAATCTATGTATTGTCCTGGTCGTATACGAAGGCATAAGTTATCTAACGTTTTATTCCATTTACAATGCAAGAGAGAGAGGAAAAGCTATGGGTACGATATTGACTCGAACATTAAACAGCACTATACAAAAGAGGCACAGTGTCCGCATACAAACGTTAATTTGGGTGCAAGGATTGATTCATTCTAAAACAGATTTTTTTTAACAAATTGCTTATAAGGAGTAGGCCCCTATTGTTTTAGGATAATGTGTACCCAGAGCCCAAGGGCCTAGTATCATAACTAGACGATGCTTCATTAAAATATCAAAATCAAACAACTGAAATTGGTGTGAAAGTGTTGTTCAAATGTTACCCCTGTGTTCTATTTATTGAAACTTTCATTACTGATCTTGATTCTTGAACTTGGGTCGAGTACATCTATTCCAAATGCAACTGACGTACTCCGCCATTTCTTACAGCACTTGTTCCCAATAAAACCTGCCGTTAAGATTACGTGATTAATACATCTGTAACATCAATCAAGTAGTCTGCTACAAATCCTCGGCGTATAGATTCCCATAATGCAACACTTGAGTGGCAGAAGAAATGCAGAGGTTTTTATGAGTAACTTCAAAAGCAGGAAACGAGAGACAATTTTGTTAAATTCAGACCCTATAAAAAACAAGTCAAATGCAAATCATTGTAAACCAGTAAAAATTACAATCAAACATACAACTAGAAAACAGCTACTCCATGGAGTAGCAAACCCCACCGAACAAAACATATTTTGATAAATAGCGGCCATCTTGAAAAATTCTTCTTGAACAGAGCTCCTTTGATCAGCATAGAAAATTTTAACCAATTCTGTCAAGAAGTATTTGAGTTATCAAAGATTTCATTTTTACAAAAAATGCCGGCCATTTTGAATGGAGCGGTCATGAACAAGCCATCGATGTTCAAATGAAAATTAATCGATTGAGAACATGTGACAATATCCATTGAGAGATCACTGTCTCCTATCAGTTTCCTCTCTTTTGTCGTACATGTATTTACAAAACAATGGAAGGAACATGATGTCATCGGTCATGGAGGCTATTTGGTCAGAACAATGCATACGCAGAAATTTAGTAGTAATCAAAAGAATTCACGCATAGCAGAGCTTTTTTGACAAGGTTATATCTTTATATTTAATTATATGTTATTGATGGATTATCGGATTTCCGCAGATAGACAGCCTGTCTAAGAATCTGTCTAACTAGCACTGTACCGATATCAGCAAAGTCGTTTCCATGGTAGTTGTTTCATAGATAAAAACAACGATTTATTACGTAACTTAGGGAGTACAAGAAATAAAAACGTGAACGGAATCCTACTTTTTTATATTCGATGAATGAATTCGATGTGACTGAATACAAATATTATTTGGAATTTACCAGGGAAATTGAGGAGTTTGATATTTCATATTCAAGCCAAACTCGCAAGCATCCATATTTTGGAAGTTTTTCAAAGATGGCACCAGTCATGCTACTCGTAATCTTGCCATATCTCCACTGCTCTTATATCGTAGACAGTTTAGAACACATGGGAATGTTATGCTCCATTGAGCATTTCGTTGAACAACCATAACTTACTTAACGGTTTATCTGTTTTTGTAACTTAATACCATGTCCGATTAAAAATTGGGCAAAACAGGGATTATGTTATTTTGTTGTTGTTATAAATTCCATGTTTTCTTTGGTATTTTGTTGTTACAGTGAATCTGTTCGGCCAATGCATCGCGTGCAATGTCAGTCTTGTCTAAACATCCATACATTAGTCATATTTAGGCGTTCTTTTGGTACTGCTAGAGAAATACATTGTTTAATACGGCATTTCTATGTTACAAACTAATAACCCTTTTTGAAAAGTTTTTGAGAGCTTATTTGATTAAACTATAGGATGGGACGGGAACGGTTGAAAAGATCATACCTCGATCACTCAATTTGTGTTATAACAATGTAACAACAATGAATATGGGCATTGTCCTTTAAATATGCTAATGGTGCAAAAGTGAATACTAGAAAAGTTTGTTCAGCAGGTTGCTTGCAATGCACAGCTGGCTTTTGCAGCATGGATGGCGTGTCCGAACGGTCAGAACTCCCCCACATCCTGTGTACGGAGCTAACACGTACTTGCATTTTTCGTAACGGTATAGGGCCAAAAATCAAAACTAAGTGAATGATTATTGAACAAATTTTTTAATCCATGCTCATGGCGTATCGGATATTGATAAAATATATCTGGTTTATTTTATAATAGAAATATGATGGCTTACGTTCCAGGGTTATGTTTTGCACTTATCTTTGGTAAGCTGGTAAGGTCACTGCATCGTATCGAGTTCAGTTAAATACGAGGGCGTCAATCATAGCTTAGTTGCCTACGCTACAGGCCTTAGTAATATACATATCGGTAAGTTGGGAATAATAATGTATAGACTACTGGATTATGTTAGCCCACCTAAACCCATATATACCCATACCATATTTGGGAGTGATGACGTAGTAAGATCGTCTTAAAGCCTAGTTGCTTCTATTAGACATAAGATGTTCTTGCATCTTTGATGTGATGCTGACATACAAAGTCGCGTCTGTTTTTCATGATTTCTCATTAAACATTTCTCGTGGCATTGACAGGAATACAGATTTCATAAGGTTTTAATATAGGGGTACCGTATAGTAGCCCTAATCATAATATAACATCATGATTATATCTTTCTGACAGAAACAACAACGATTTTCATATTAGTTTCACCTGTACTAAAGGCTGTTTTCAACGATGCTACTTACAAGTGTATTGCCATTGGAATAGACGCTCGATTAATCAAGGAGTCTTTCCAACCTTGATACAATAAGATAGTGCTATCCTTCGTGGGCAAAACACATAAATAAAACCATTGGAAAAACATCATTTATCTTTAAATAAGTTTAAGTATACCAATGGTACAATAATAAAGCGCCCAACATTGAAATTGACGTAACAAAGCCCCAATAAATCACATTATCCAAAGGGATCAGTTAATCCGCAAATCCCCGTCTTAATCCTGAAATGGCAAGATTATAGAACCTGGCAGCTTTAACTGGTGTAACATATGCCCGGAGATAAGTGTTCCTATGCTTCCTTGGCCCCGCTCTTAGTAATACATAAGAAGAAAGGCCCTGATCGTGCATATCAAAGGAGATGATTGCCATGCTTCAACCATCAGGCCGTTCCAGAAACAGAAACTCAGATGGTTAACATAATTTATGTCTCGTGAACTTACTTTTTCGACACATGACCGTGCCTCCTGAAAGGCCTCTCCTCTGTAGGGATATACTAGAGAGGCGTGGCCAGGCCTTAGCCCGGGGAGGCGTGCAATTATACAGCCGCAAAAACTCGGGAAAACAAACAGGTATATTAAAAGGATTCTGCAATAACATGGTCAGCGCCCTTCTTCAGGAAGATCAAGTGAAGATTAAAGCGCTTGTCTTCTAAGCAGGATTATAATTTAATGTTAGTCTGAATTCACTGCAGATGCTCATATAAACAATCCTTCGCACATTTATCTATAAACTTTGGATTATAAAGAGGAAATCAGAACTAGGATCGGATAGACCACTGCAAAAACTTTGTTCATCATTTAGAACTCCAAATGGCGGTCAGCAGATGATTGAAGTAATCAATTGGAGTTTGCCTTTCGATATAAAATCACACACGGTTACATAATATCCAAGGATATAATTTAGTTACTTCCTATAACTTCGGGACACGGTCATGAGCAATGTCAGGGATAACCAAGATATAGTATAAAGGTATCCTAATGATCAATGTTCATAGGGCAATAAATATCACATAATTTTCCTCTAATGTTCATCTTAAGTTGAATCAGGCAGATGGTGTTCCCGGTCTATAATGGTTAAGAAGGTGATTCATGTGATAGCTCCCAGAAATAAGATAAGATTCTCTTATAGCACTGTAGTATAAACTGTAACTATCATCCATGATACCCATTGCCATAAATGGTAACCTATGATTTGTATTTTGTAGACAACCACACAATAACTTCGTCTCAATTATGACGGGAGGGGGACGCTTTGATTTCGATGATGGTGGGACCTACTGTGGCGGTTGGGAGGACGGCAAGGCGCATGGTAATGGCGTCTGCACCGGGCCCAAAGGTATGGGAGAATACTCTGGTGCTTGGCAACACGGATTCGAACATTTAGGAGTTTACACCTGGCCAAGTGGTAACTGCTATGGTGGACAGTGGACTCAGGGCAAGCGACATGGTATAGGTACAGAGGCCAAAGGAAAGTGGTTGTACCGAGGTGAATGGACTCAGGGGTTTAAAGGTCGATATGGAGTCAGACAAAGCACCAACTCTGGGGCCAAATATGAGGGAACTTGGACCACTGGCCTCCAAGATGGATATGGAGTGGAAACATACGCTGATGGGGGTAAGTAACAAGTGTGACCTTGACCAAGAACCCAGCTGAAAGTGGTGCATGCCTTCCATGCATGATAGCTCATTATGTTTTATTTAATCTTTTTGGTCTTCAAAGAAGAATGCCTCAATCATGTTTCTCTGTTTCTGTTTTTTATCTTGTGTTTGTGTATCTTCAAAGACCAATATTGAGCCAAATGTTGAAGATTAACAATATAATAGATTATTGACGCAATATAAGCAGCTCGTTCAAACGATGTTCTGGTTACCAATAACTAGGCCTATGCTTCAATGAATCGCAAGGTATACAGGCCTTGGTGAAAATCTCATCAATTTGTATATAAACACAATTGTCTTTAGAATCTGCCTTAGTAAATGATCCAAAAATGTTCTACCAAATTACATCAACTTGACAAATATTAGATCGCCATTGTATGGCACTATTATATTAACCCTTTCTAAATCTCGTCCATGATACATCAGCTGTTGACACGTGTCAGAGATGCTACTATTTATGTGCAGCTACATGTACCTACAAGCTAGACTGCTGAGTAGTATGTTGTGGCCTGCAAGTATCGGAATACATAATAGCCATAGAACTGAATAAGAAAGAATAAGCTGAATTTGCTGAATTTGTGAAGTATGTTTATTTCACAAAGCTTCGCCTTAATATCAATTGGTTTGCGCCTTTTTGATACCACCCTGGCCTGGATATTTCAAAGAGGGAAAAAGAGAACTTACTACATTTTAATTTCCTTTCTAGTGTTTGTGTCTCTGGGAGAAGAGGATAATGACTGACAACATAAAAATTTGCAAAAGGAAGAAAAGAGAGCTTTTACGTTTTAATTTCCTTTCCGATTTAATGTCTTGGGGAGAAGAGGATACTACGAATACAAATCACATACTAATTGTAATTAAAGTTTAAACTGATATAAAACACTATTCATTTCATGAGGAGGTTCAGAACAAATAGCAAAATTCCCAGAAAATCCCATATTAGTATGTAAAATCCCACAATCAATCTTTCATTCATTATACACACAGTTATGATCAAACAAGAACTGTCACGAAGCAATGAGCAATTTGACTCAATATAAATACAAAACTACCCTATTTCACCAGAAACACAACCTCATCTTGATCGTCATATAAATCATCAATAACGCTAATTCATTGATATAAAATGTTTGAACTTATGATTAGATCCCAAGACCTCTATTATGAATTAAGCGGCCAGTAGAATGAGAACATCGTGAACCCCTACAAACAATTATTAAAGGCAGAATCAGATCTATTGGGGAGACAAAATTACAAGCAATATGTACAATTGACCTACCAATCTTTTCCTCACAATCTCAAATACAATATCTCCCAAAAGGTTCACGATATGTTATAAATTGGTGAAGTTATAATGGATTCAAAGTTCAAAATTGAGTGAAAAATGTTTAAATTCTCCCAAATAATAAGAATGGTAACCATTCTTATAGAAAAATAAAGCATTATTGTAAAAATCTTTAATTTTGCTGAAATAAACTGTGAACTCTGGGGATTTTTAGAAAATAGGCATGTAAAGGAATGACATAAGCTAGAAATATTCTAAAATTGAAACAATTTTTTTGTTGGGCTGCTCGCTAGATCTGATTCTCTCTTTAAACAAATGAAAGTATAAAATGGTTAAGCTTTATTGTGCAAATTGTCCGAAATAACAAATGTGAATATCCATATTTATAGACATATAATCACAGACATGTAAATAACATTTAGTTTCTTGAAGAGAGTTTAAATCAAAATTCTTCTAAAATCTCGATCTGATTCTGTCATTAAATACGAGTACAAACACGGTGACAAAGTACACATGAATAATGAATCTTTAAGGTGGACTTGAAACCGCATCTTTAAACGTATATTTGGTGAGTCGCAGCCAGAACATCTATGGCAAAAGACCCACATACCTGATAAATTTACTATTTAATATCCTCACATTACATTCCACATCAAGATCGGACATACCATTTTATATCGACGATATTGATATAAAATATTTTTCTTTTCTTTGTATTGTACGAGATTGTGTGTCAAATGGTACAATGTATAGATCAAGAGAAAGCAAGGTCAAATAGATCAACTAAATTACACCCACACTGTTATTATAGAATCGTTATCTTATCAAAACGTCGGTAATTATAATCTGATATTTTTCTGGTACTATACTTAGTTCACGGTATATATAGAAGGAAACGGCTCAGTAGGAGCCCGGTATGGCAAGGTGGTTATTTAGTCGAATTTTCTGGAAAGAGAAATAAATGAAGATTGGATTCCAAATGAGTTTGATGAACTCGAACACACAAAACTGTATCGGCAAATAAGACTACCAACCAAAACGTTAAGTCTTGTTTTCATTCAAAAGAGCGACTCGCAACAGTCGCAACAGTGGGAAAACAAGGCATTAATATTCAAAATGTCACCACCTGCCATTGGTTACCGACGGCCAACGCCGACCACCGTCCACAAAAAGTATATACTATAACAACATGTTTGACCACTTCTGATGGTGACATCACAAAATCTTACACCAAGCAATTAATATATCAAATAATCAAACACAATAAACGTCGGCTACATTGTCCCACGAATTCAAGCTGCTTGATGTTAACGAGACTGTTTGATCAAAATATGAGTTTTCTGGCATGACATTACTGTTTGAGTATCATCGCCTAGGTGATTCATCAAGAAAACAATCACATTGAGAAGCACATTGATGTTATATAATAGACACTTAAACACTTGCATATAAAAGAAGAGAAAATATGTTAACTTAACTGGAAGTAAAAGAGATAGCTATGTGTAGGGTAAGAAGCAGAGATAGCAGGTCTGGAAACATATATCATGTAGTTGCTGCATGAGTTTTCTGTTTCAAATAGCAGATTAGATACGTTACCTAGCAACCAATGTAAAATAATAAGCACATGGTAGACATGTTTATATTATATACACCACTCACACATAACTGTACGGTGTTATATTAATGAAAAGGTAGAAAGGTAGACTTGACAAAAATCTCGTTTCTGGTGGATCCTATATTTTCATATGCCCATATTTTTGTTATGAATTACCTCCTCTTTCCCAATTGTGCCATCTGCTAGTGGCTTGTAATGTCATTTGACGATGTGTACCTGACAATGCAACTTTGATACATTAACCTACTCTGTACTAATTATTTAGAATCATTCGAAAGAAAAGTTTGTATTGTTTCGTTTTTGAAATTTAACTTCTCTCCAGAAGCATATCAAACCAACCAATAAATTGCAAATTCTAAGAAAAATGTTAAAATACTGTTTTTAATGATATAAAGACGGAAAACAAATAAAAATGAATAAACAACATTTTGGATGATTGTTTTGTTTTGAAGGCTCAATTTTGATATCAATGGAAAATAAAGAATATACTTTAATTAATTTACCAGATATATAATGCAAAGATATATGATAAGCAATCAGACAGCTCTTGTTACACTATGATTTTGCAAGGTGAAATATAATTCTCCTCACGGAGATCAACGGAATATGTTGAGTAATTGATATTCCCTGATACCTAGATGTTATTTCAACCTCTACCAGTCCCCAAGTACAAGGATAGTACTTATGGATATATGTAATATTTTATGATTCCTTGATTCCTTCAAGCTATTAGTATAGACTATTTTGCACCTGCTTATGACAAATAATACTGTTTTGTATTCACATCTCCAACCACTGTAGATTAGTCATGTACATGTAGGCTACATTTTATAATTGAGGACATTAATGATAAAGCACAAAGGCTAGGATTAGAAAAATGAAAAACACACTGACTGATTGAAGACATTGATTGAAACCATTAGATATAGTCTTGCAAAAAACCTACATACGTCATGAGAGAGAGGGGGATAGGAGGAAACCAAGGTGGTGGGGGGGGGGTGAAAGGTGAGATAGAGGGAGTGAGGAAATGTTTATAAAGAGAATGTGGGTGGGTGAGGACTAGCAAATAGTAAACTCTTCAGAAGCAATTGTGCAACAAGAATATATAAATCATGTGACCTTCAATGTGAGTTAATGGAAAATGGCATATAGCAGTTGCATTGAACACTTGTTGATTTGCTACTGTATGTTGTAACAAACTGGAACACTTTACCTAGTAGGTGAATTGTTTAAGTGCAAATGTTCTGATATCCAATTTTTAGTTGAAGGACTGAACCCTTCTGTGTAAAGAAATGATACATACAGCAGCCAACCTTGACCTTTATCAGATGTGAATAATTGTATTGTATTGTATTCCCTGTAAGTATTACATTGATTGATTTGATGTCATATTATGCAGATTAACATTCTGCTGTATTGGTTTTTATTGTCATGTTTAATTGAGTATAGTTGAGTAATTGAATGCATTTTAAATGTGCATCATGGGATGTGTTAACAATGTTACATTTGTTATTGCTTAGAGGAGAACAATATATAGCATATACATAAATAAAGACTAGATTATGTCATATGTATATATTATATGACTATCACATCAAAAATCTAAAAACACAGATTACATCAATATCATAATAACATCTTATGTTGAATCTTATAATGTTTTAGAACAGAATTCTGAAGAGAAAATGATATACAGTAAAACCTTTGTATATTGAACATTTCTTTCAGAGAAAAAACGTTCAGTCCTGGTAGGTGTTCATTAAAAGAGGGTGATTTATACAGAAGTTAATCGGGTATATGCGAAGGAAGGTTGTTCACTAGAGAGATGTGACAGATTTTATAGGTGACAGATAAGATAGATTTACCCTAGTTTGGTTAATGTAGTGTAGTTTTAGTTTCATAAGTGCTCTATTTCCACATTAACCAATCTAACAGGAACTTCTTTATTCACATCATTTTGATTATGTCATGATTATCTGGTAACATCTTCAATATTAGTAAATGACTAGGGAACAAACAACACATATGTTATGTTTATGTATCATACTCAAAATTG